CAAGATTTTTGGGAAAAAAATGTAAGTGGGAATGTAAGAAATGAATCTTCAGAGACATATTTACACCTGTTAATGAAAGGGATAAAATATATATATATATTAGGGTGAGCCAAAAAAACTAACCCATCGGATTTATGGGTTAAAATGAACCTACATACCGAGCAAAAAATTTCCCTGCAAGGCAAATTTTTTTGCTCAATTTTAAAAGGTGTCGGTGAGCATTCTAAGTTTTCCATTGAAATAACACGTAAAAAATCTTTTTTCATTAAAAAGACTATAACTTTTGAACCGTTTAAGATAAAATTTTTTACGTTGCGGATTCTTGTAGAGCATAAAATTTCCCAAAGAATCTATACCAGGATTATTTTTTTTAATTAAAAACTCGTATGTTTGAAAGCTTTGAAAAGTGTAAAAAATCACTAAAACTGCAGTTTTAATCGTATTTAGAATAGCGCAGACAATAAACCAACGGCGATATCACAACGTACCTGTACATAAACTGTCATAACTTGACATTTATCCATAGAATTACTACTTTTAGATATTTTAAAAATGGGCATATTTTAATGATTTTTGCTTCTTTTTGGTAAAATAGTAAATACTTAATTCTAATTTTGTCCAAAAATTGACTTTTTCTCGATATTTGGCCCCATTGCACCTAAACTTATTGACTAATTGGGCATTTATACAATTACATTTGTTATTATGTTAATTAGGTTTAATTTGACATCTGTTGTAATCAAATTGGCCATTTCAAACTCGAGATATATCCCAAATAGTAAAGCCGGCATCGAAAAATCAAAGACAATTTTTTATTTGGAAAATCTTGCCATAAAAAAAAATTTTATTGTCATTTTCGAGTTTAGCAGGCCAAAATACATCAGAAAAAAATAGTCGCACTCAAGGTACATTTTGACTGTAAACCAGTGTAATCAATGTTTTTGACAAATTTTCAGTGTATCATAATGCACTATTTAAATTAATTAACATTAACAACCGATAAAAACATGGAAAAAGTGGAAGAAATGTTTATAAACAATCAGAGAAGTCGCTGATGATGTTGGTATATCGATTGACTCATCCTATGATATTTTTTCCAATGTTTTGGGTATGAAACGCGTGGCAGCAAAATTTGTTCCAAAATTGTTAAATTTTGAACAAAATTTTCGGCCAAAAACAATACTGTAATGATGCCCCAGCCTCCATATTCGCCAGACATGCCTCTGTCTGACTTTTTCCTATTCCCAAAAATAAAGAGAACCTTAAAGGGCCGTCGTTTTGCAAGCATAGATGACATTAAAAGGGCATCGCTGAAAGAACTAAAGGCTATCCCAAAGATCGAGTTTTAGAAGTGTTTCGAGTATTGGAAGAAGAGCTGGCACATGTGCATAATATCCAATGGGGATTATTTTGAAGGCGACAATATTAATGTAACGAACAAATAAATATTTGTTTCAAAAAACGAAAATTCCCGATATCTTCTGAACACACCTCGTACGTATATTTTATTTACATATAAATAGCGTCTTATTTCCATCTAAAATTCAATTTGATTCACTGTGCTCCTGCATCGTTTTCAAGCCGATTGATGGCTTGTAGCGACAGCAGCACAATATGCTCCTGTTTTCTCGGTCAATATTGGAACACTTCTAATTAGAAATGAGGCCTGTGTTTGTCCTGACATGATGTCGACGTTGTTGATATTGATGTCGCTCCTTGCCAGTTGTTTGCGTTAATTTTCGGTGCAACAAGTGATGCGCTAGTCGGAAATTCATAGACTCCATGACATTGATCGAGCTATGGGAATTTATGGTACAGGTGTTTCAATCATGCTTAATATTGATGGAGACTTTTATTAAATTAAATGTTGGTTATATATACATGTTTACATATGGGTGAATATATTGAGATGTCCCCCAAGTGAAATTTTTTTTTTAATTTTTGGTTGTTTCACTGTTAGTCTAGAATGGGGTTTTTGGGAAGTCACCACACAACATAAGTGGTTCTGCACTAAGGCAAGAATTTTAAGAAATCATACATTTTGAATATTAGAGCTTCACGGAGGTTAGGATTTCGTATGTTTTTTTTAACATCCCTTTGTATATTTGAAATAAGTTATTGTATCTTTTGACACCTTAATATTTTAAAAAAATACAATTGTACATACATAAAATATTTATAAAAAAAATCAACTTACTGAGATATTACACTTCACGGTGGATAGGTTTTTAAATAGCAAATGAATAAGCTTAAACTTTTGAATTATAAAACAGCAACACTCTCATCTGCATATAAATTCCAACTGACCTTCAGGAATCACATGCATCTATAATGTCGTAAACAGAGGTTTTTTCTTATTTAAAATGATTAAAGCTCCATCCGTTGCATAAAATTTAAAGAAAAAACAGATTCACGGAAGATAGAATCAATTTTTGTAACACCTACATAAATGGCTATAAAAATTCTTTCCTTTAATTTTTAATAATATTTTATATTTGATTCGATTGCTTTGGATGAGTTTAACTTGATATTTTTAGTATGCTTTTACTACCTCAGATATTTAAAAACATATGGGTTAACCTCAAAATATTTATAATATAAAATATATATATATATATATATATAAAATATATATTTCATTTTAAGGTCAAACTTTTTCAGTTTATTATTGTTTTTTGTTATATTCTATTATTTATAAAACTAAACTAAAAAACATTTCGAAACATTTCATTGCAATAAAAATAAAAATGCTTAACAAACATTTGAACAACAACAAAAACGAAACCAATATGTCACGTTTAGGTGTGCGACTTTTGGAAAAGTTAAAACTGTTTATCCGTCCTAAAGTTTCAACAAAATAAACAAATAATTGGTTAACTTACTTGAGTAGAGTTCTTTTTTATTGGCTGTGCTTCTTTCGGTGAAACAAAAAAAGTTGTAAAAGAAATCTTGGAAGTTTGATAACGCAACACCATCGATCGAGAAAAGTGGGCAGTGCATGGCTGATAACGTTGCCTTATCAATCTTATAATTGGGTCATTTTCAAGAAACCATTTATGTTAGTTAAGTTACTTTTTAAAAGAAACCATTCCGATTCTTTGTTAAAAAAACAATACCATTAATATTTTCTTTTAGTCACTATATTAGTGAGTTAAACTCTAATTTATAAACAGATATTACCAAGTGATAGTCAAATCATTTTAAGGATTTTTTTAACAAAAACTAAAAAAAGTAAAGAAATAGACATTGGTATCACAACGGACTGGGGTACACAAAGGACTTAATCAGAAAACGTAAAAAAGAAACTATATAGGGTGGTACGATTTAAGAGTAATGCATAAACAAAATCCCTTGTAGTGCTGCTCACTTGCAGAATAACAACCTAGATTTCTAAATTGTAGGCACAATTTTTCTTTGACTATAAGCTGGTGAAGGTCCCTTTTAGTACTTGTATATTGCGTGGAATTTTCCCTTGGATGTAATCACAAATAATTTTAAATTGGTTTATCATAAACTACTTTTAATAAAAGCGACGGTAAAAATCCACTTTGTTGTCAAAAAATTCTATTGCGTTACCCTAAATTCTATTGCGTTACCATAAGGTAACGTAGTAGACTCGGTAACGCAGTGGAAAAAGTTTTGTGAAACCATATTTAAAAAATAATAATAAGACATTACAGTCATTAATTACTCTTAATGAGCTTTAGTACCCTAAAACAAACATAAACATGAGAAATAGTATTTTTTCTTACCTTATTTTTATTATTTTTTTGAGTAACTTAGCGGGCAAATAATTATTACATTCGCGTTACCCGCACCTGTTTTAACCGATATCTTCTTCCTGATTGAATAAATAAATTCAGCTGGGTAATGTGTACGTTCGAACATCATTTGTTGATCACGTGAGTGCCAAAAAAGTTGCCATATATGTTTTTTTAAATATTCTATCGGTAACGCGACGGACGTAACGCAACGTAAAAAATGTCTGGGACATGAGTCAAATTTAAAAAAAGTAGATTAAAATTAATTAATTTATATATAAATTGTTTACTGTATTAACTAAGTATGTTATGGATTGCTATAAAGCAACACAAAGTTCTGGTTATTCAATATTAAAAAAAAACATGTATGTAAGTTTTATAAAACGCTAATGGGACATGCGAAAATGTGTGTTTCACAAGTTTCAAAATTAAAAAAAATATATTCTGAAATAACTAAACAAACATTTTCTGAAAGAGTTTACTAAGGGCTTGTTAGGCTTTCACTTGGTTTTTAAATCAATAAGATCCGATAATTTTTAACAAAGTTATTGGAATTCAAAGTTACGGACAGCGGAAGGCGGGTGTTTTTTGAAAACGACCCAATTGTAGATACTTTTTCGAATTTCCAATTTAGATGACATACTTTTGAGACATTTTTTGAGAAATGTTTTTTGACATATGAAGTCGCTTAGCAACGAATAATTTTGAACAATGGTAACTTGTTTGGTGCTCATCATTGATGCATAGTACGTTAAATACGAGACTAAAGTGATGTTTATCAAACTTTGATACATGATATACTATTATTATAATACGTGTTTCAGAAGGTATAAGGTTTTATTTCTAAAATAGAATCATTTTTCCATTTGGAAGGATCGAACCCTTATTAGAGTTGAACTTTGTTTCTTTCGGTCTGTTTAACAGCGTAACAATGGACGTCCTTTTTTTGTCTTATCGAGGACACTTCGGGACTTGAGTGTATCGAACCCTTCCATCCATCTTGGTCAGAGATCCTTAATCTGGAGTTTAGTGCCGAAAAATAAGAAGTGGAAGGACCCGCAACCGGTTGAAGTGATGCACATGTTGATTGGGGCTTTTGGGGGCATGCGCGGGCCCCGGACCCGGTTCGCTTACGCTCCGGGAGCAGTCAACGTTCCGTCGTTTCGCCAGGCCTACCTGTTGGTCGGAGAGTCGGCACTTCGCGAAGCGCGCTTTCACGTACTTATTACGTCGCATCGGAGATTGTTGATATTTACTCCAAACCAAATACGATTTTTTTCGGTACAGCGGATTTTAACAGTGGTGAGTAAAGGAATGAAATATGCACTTTTTGAATTTTGTGCAATAGATTGTCATAAATGTATAACTATATAAAAACAAACACTGTTTTTTCAGTCTCACGAATTTATTTTAATGATATTTCGACAATTGTTTCGCTAACACAGTTGTTTCTTAAAGGTCGAAACAATAAAATATTGTCATATTCATTTTATAAATTAAAAAATATAAATATAAATAATATTTAGAATTTTTTTAAAAAATCCATTATAGTAATAATAAAAATCAGTGTCTATAGAGAAGGTTATAAAACAAACACTGTTTTTTCAGTCTCACGAATTTATTTTAATGATATTTCGACAATTGTTTCGCTAACACAGTAGTTTCTTAAAGGTCGAAACAATAAAATATTGTCATATTCATTTTATAAATTAAAAAATATAAATATAAATAATATTTAGAATTTTTTTAAAAAATCCATTATAGTAATAATAAAAATCAGTGTCTATAGAGAAGGTTATAAAACGAGTTGCATACTTACTTTACGACGAACAAAATTAAGAATTAAAAGCCAATTTTATTTGTTCAACATTTGACACCTCTCAATGGAGTTAACCTCACTTTTTTTTTAATTTATAATAAAGCTAACTTCAGCATGTGATTAAAATATCCAAAAGATGCTAAGAAAATATGTTATCCTTTGATTTTTTTACTACTATAATTGCAAAATATTATCACAAAATTCTTACACGGGAAATGTTAAAGGCTCAAAAAGTGACAATTGTATTTACTTATTGGAATTATCTTAAAATGATTTAAATCAAAAATTTGTATAGAGCCCCATCTATGAAACAATAGAGGAATCTGTGTGTCACCGTCAAATGTCAAATTTTTATATTTTATAAACACAGATTATGAAGGTTATAAATCAAAATGTATTTCTTGAAAATTGACAGTTTTTCACAGTGAAAGTAAAGAAAATGTTTTATGAGCACTTTACAGTAGAGTCCGTGCCCGAAATTAAAAGGTCAGTACAATAATTCATATAAACTTTTCAAATATTGTCGTTGAGAAACTATTTAATACTTTTGTATTTTTGTATTCAGATAATAAAATAATTTTCACATATAGTATTATTTTACATTTTACAAGAAAGGCACTTTATTTTAACGATTGTATGACATTTGACAACTGTCAACTAACTTAAAACTAACTTCAGCCCGTGACTAAAAACCTGTTGCTAACTTCAGCCCGTGACTAAAGCGCCATAAAGCCACAACTTGTCAATGTGTATTTAAAAGGTCACTTAGTGTCATGGAAACATGTACGATAAAGGGCGTTTTAAAGGTGGGAGTAGAAAAAATAAATTAACAAATTTTAAAATATACATACAGGGCAAAACCTAAGGTGGAATAAGTTCTGTAATTTGAAAACAACTAATTTTTTTTAATTAAAAAAAAGTCAACCGATAAACCTAATAAATAAAAACCAGATTTCCTTGGATTGAATACTATTTTCCGATGAAGTAAGTTTACTTTTCTTCAAGTAGTTTTTGTACCATATTTGGCAGTTTATTTTCCAAACCAAGATGACCCAGACTTGCCAGATAATAGACTCTGGTTTCAGCAAGATGGATCACCCATTTGTCAATACCTAAACGAAATATTTCCTAATCGGTGAATTGGTAGAAGAGGAGCGGTTGAGTGGCCAGCCCGATCTCCAGTCCTTATCCCGTTGGATTTTTTATGTGAGGTTGCCTTAAAAATAGACTTTATGTCACCAAACCAAATAATATTGATGACCTTAAAGAGAGTATCCGACACGAAACTCCTATGATATCACCAGAAATTTCGTAAAATGTTAAAAATGATTTTTATAATCGTCTAGCATTTTGTCAAGAAACCGGAGGAGCTCCCATGAAAAAAATTTGAAGTGTTTTTAAAATGAAAAAGAAGAAATTTTGTTTTTAAAATATTTTGTATTTAAAATACAGAATGTATTTTAGTATTTATTCCACCATGTATATATAAAAGGTTAAATATACTAAAATATACTTTAGTCGTTAAAATATATTGTATTGAAACCTATAAATAGATCAATAATGAGTTCGGTATAAATACAATCAACAAAGAAATTCAAAGAAATAGTAACGTAAATATCGTTTCATTAATATATATGTATTTATCAATATTTCAGTTTGTTTTTTATTACCAATAACAACATTTGACCTAGCAATTTGCTAAACAAAAAAACGCTTTATTTACAGAGCACAGACAGGAGAAAATTATGATTCTCACTTCGAAATAAATGTCCATTGTAAGTCTTTCTATTCAAGTATTTTATCTTTTTTATTGGATATGTCACAAAGAAATATGTCAATAAACATGTTTTTTTGAATTACTGATACGTGGTCCAGTTTATATAAAAAAGACGAATATTTTGGGAAAAAATCATCTAAATTAAATTAAATCAAGCAAACTTAAAAAACATAAATATGTTCTTTAAAACTTTAAAATATATTTCTGAAACTCAAAAATATACTTTATTTATTATAATATCGATATAAAAAGATAACTATGCCAAAAATCAGATTCTAAAGTAAAAGAACTTTTAAGGGCAAAACTTAATTTTGATGAAGTTATGCTAAATGCCAAAAATGGCAAAAAAAGTACATCGCCTTATGGACATTTTTGGAGTAAATTATAATTATTATTAAGCCACTACAAGTATTAACGTCCAGTGGCTTTAACAAAATACCCAATGATTGGACAACATTCCCGTGTGTTCACATAAAATTTTAATTTTTTTTATATAAATTCTTTTCAAAGCGAAGATTATTATCCGCTAGGAATACTTTGTCTGGGCCGTAGTCACCTATATTTAACTACTTTTTTTTATATGATTTTACTGACTGAGTTTAGGTCACATATTTTTGGAAGCAGTGATAAACTATAAGGAATTTGTCAAAAAACTCCTTAAAAACTTTAAAATCCCCTCTTTCATCAATTTATATTTCTTTTTCTTGAAAATTCACCCCAATGTTATTTAAAAATTCCAAGTAGATACCTTACTTTTCCTGTTTGTGCAGTTCTCTCAGGAACTAAATTCTTTACAGACCTTGAATAATAGATAAGCCGTGCTTTAGTCTTTATAGCTAAAAAAGTCATTTTAACTTGTAAGCTTTATAAAACTTGTGCAATTACTAGGTGTATAAAATCTTTTTTTAAAACTCATTAAAACTTCTTATTGTGATACGTTTAAGTAAATTATTAAAAAATGAGTTACTGGAAGGTAAAAATTATCGAGCTTTGAAACTTTCCAAGTGCAGTCATTAAAATAATTAAAACAGTCTGTAAGTGTACCATTAACTAATGACTAGTTTAAAAAACTTTACACTTAAAACTTGGTTTTGATAATTATAATTAATGAGTTTCCAAAGTCTTGCTTGTGGCTTTGCAGCAGATGCAGTGGCAGTATCTTGTCACTAACTTAATTATTGGTTGAACACTATATTAATTGAAAACAATTGCCAGACAGCAATGGAGGTAATAAAATTATTACTGTGGATAAATGGATTAACGTCGAAGTTCCTTACACCCGCCAGTAAAAATCAACAAGTGCCCCTGTCATATCGAACTAATGAACTCTGCTGCAACGCCTCATGAGGCTTTTGAGGACGTCAAACTTCAATTTTATTGGGAATCAAAGGAAATTCCATTTAAAATGATGATACTTTATTATCTATTTTTATAAAATATTAAGACCAATCATAGATCTAAAAGTATTTAACATTTTATTTAGGATACTGTGGAAATAAACACCAACATTTTTCTTTCAAATCAAAGCCAATTGTTGTAGTCTACGGAAACGCAACGTTTTAAATTAAAACGGAAAACTAAAAGGCGGCGTAAAGATAGGTATCCATGTTTGTGATTGGTGGAAATAGATTGAGAGAGAGAGGGAAACGCCATGTTGGCAGTGGCTTCATTGACTTCATTGACAATTAAACATACCTTTTTTGTAGAGCGTTAAATTGTCTACAAAAATATGTCATACTCGTTTGACAACAAATATTTTTCAATGAGTTACATAATTAAAGATTTGATTTTTTTTTATAAATTCTTCAAACTCTGATCTTGAATATCTTTTAAATGGTTAGAGTAATCGCTTAAACACATCAGTCCTTTTTTGTAGAGAATTCAATTTACTACAAAAATATGTATAAAGATTTGATTAAACGATTGATTAATAATGAAATATGGTCTTTTTTATAAGGGACTAAAGAAAAATGAAATACTGTGATGAAAAATTTTTCAGTGTCAGAAGTAAAAAAAATATTCCGTTTTTTTAATCACCCTAATATATATATATATATATATATATATATATATATATATATATATATATTACATAGATAATAAAACTATGAAATACATATTTACACACATATCGATTTAAAAATGCCCAAAGCACATTCCCAGCAATAAAAATTGGTGACAAGAATTCGTAGAATTAATTTATCAGATAAAATTTATTTTTATCGATTGCTTATTTGTGTACATAAATATTATATTAAACAGATATCATAAATAACTATTTCTATTTTGGTTTTTATTATATGGTTGAGACCCTATTTAGCTTATGTTAAAAGTCGGTCTGCAGAAATAAGATGTTTTCATGAATACGAGCCTGATAAATATTCTTGAAAACATAAATAACGTTTTTAAAGGCATTAAAAGGTATTTCCACCACCTACGAGTTCAAGGTTTAATAGCTTTGGAATTGAATCACAAAAATGTTTTAAATAATTTGTTTATTAAATTTTTAGCGATTCATAACATAAAATGTTTTATTATATGTATTTTTAGAAGTATAAATAAGATCTGTATTATATTAAAAACTGAATATAATAAAAATAATGTCCTAAACAGGATTTAATAAAAAAAACAGAAATATTTAACTAAAGAAAACTTACCGGTATTTTGAAAACCTTACCTTAATTCAAACTCAATAGCTTGTTGCTT